GATAGCAGCACTGCTTTTACTCATGGCTGTGATTTGGAGCATGTTGTTTCAATTGAAAATTTTAAGCTTCATATTTGTACTCCAGAAGGTCAGGTAAAACCTATATTTGCTGTTGCATGTAATTAAGGCCCTGATGAAAATCCAAGGTTTCCCAAACCATTGCAAGTTGCAATTGCAAGATTTATAAAATGGGATTTGGATGTCTATCTAACAGGAACTCATGCACCTCATTATTCAGCATAACAGGGTTGAACGGCGTATAGCTCCGCTGAGTCGAGAGTTAGCAGGATTGGTTTTGCCACATGACCATTTTGGGACACATCTAAATGCATCTGGAAAAACAATTGACGTTGATTTAGAAAAAATTTTTTTTGCTAAAGCTGCAGAAACTCTAGCTGAGGTATGGTCGGATATAGTAATTGATAACTATTCTGTTTGTGCTGAATATGTTGAACCTTCCCAACTGTCACCAATACCAGAGCAAGATTCAAAATGGATTGAAAATCACGTAAGATAAAGTCAATATTTTTTAATGATCGTTAAGTGTGATGTTCCGAATTCCTGTAAACCTTGGCGAAGTTGCTGGAAAAAATATTTTCCTCAACGTTTTTTACCAGGTTCAGTTGTAATGTTTCATACTGCTGAAGGAATTTTTATTCCTGAGCCAAAGGTAGCACGAAATATTCCTAAACCTTACTTTTCTTCTCTAGCACAGCGCTTGGGATATATAGGTTCAAAAATTTCGATGGAAGCTTCCTTTGATTTGTACTGCCCATCAATTTTACAACAAAAAATTGATCAAAGAACTTGCAAATCCTGCAAAATTTATCACGCTTCTAAAGCAAGTGTTAAACGTCACAAATGCGTGTTTAGAAACATAATCAACACGACCTCTGAGAAAAATAAAAATGACGATGAAAACAATGATACTCATTTAACAGTAAATGAAAGTAATTCTGATCAAATTCATGTCATCGAAAACATATTTGATTGGGTGAAATCATGTGGTAGTGGTGTAGTGGTAGAGCGCTCGCTTCATTAAAGAGTGGTTCCAAGTTCGATCCCCACCACATCCCTGGTAGTACCGCGCTCAACTCGTTTCTCCGCGCAGCGGCCTTGTTCGTTAAGGTTCGTGTTTCGGAGTTATAGAGTTGAGAGAGGGTTATAGCCACAAATAAGTAGCCTCCTCGTCTGTAGTGGCCTTCTCGGCCTTGAGGAGGTGAATTAAAATAAAAAAAAATAATAAAAAAATCACCCTTTGATTTAGATCACCAACAATTTAAATTAGTTAATTAATGAAGACTATATTAATAATTTTGTTTATAAAATATTAAAACAATGTTTTGAAACCTATAAAGATAACAGTTTTTGTTTAAAATTGTGATTACTTAAAAAAATTTTATCACCCTGCCCTTAACCACAACCTAATCTTTAAAGGTACCAAACAAACATTCTCGCCAGTTTGTTGATTTTAAAGGTTTCCTGTTTGCTAGCAAAAGCGCTTAAAGATCAACTACACAAATCTTTCATCAAGACTTTTTTGTTTTATTTTTTATTAATGATCTTTTAAACGATTGAAAAGTAATACACTTCACTGTCACCTTGACGTTCAGAGTTAAAAATTTTCAAACACTAAATTGATTGCTTGCATTTTTTTAGCTGAAATACTTTTCAAAAATTTATAATTTCCAGTTTTCTTAAGCTTCTTAGTTTATTATATTTATCAAAAGAATTACCCTATATAAGATGATGCAATTTTGTTACGTGACATTTTTTATAATCAAGAAATAATAACTATGTTCTCATACAAAAAGAATTTTTGTATTTATATAAGATTGAGCACAAAAGTGTTTTCCTCGCAGAAGTTATTCTCCTACTTTAATTGCGATACAACAACATAGGTGGAGGGTATGTAAAAAACTGTGACATTAAAATTTTGAAAGAAAGTTTCCAGGCTGGAGATAAAAACAATTGTTTTGACCATCGCAAGCAAATCATTAAAACTTTCTCTATTCCTAAATAACTAATAAACGTAACCAAGTACGTGAGTTGTTACATTTATAAAACACATTAAACGATAACTATGAGGTGCCAAATAAACGTGTCTGCCCGTTTATTTGGGTTAAATGTTGTGGATTATTTGCTAAAAACCCTAAACATTTTTACCGAGCTCATTAAAACTTATTACGTTTTTGTTGTTAAATTTAAACTTCTTTTACTAATTTTAAGGTTTCTTTAGTAAAAAGAACTTTAAAGTTTCCAAAAAAAAATTGTATTTAAATCTTTTTTAAAGGCAAGTATACTTCCCTCCCTCCCCAACTGACATTTCAAAGTCATGGTCATGGTTTTATTATTTTAAAAAAATTATTTATTATTATATTCAAAAATATCTAGTTATTTATTAAAAAACATCTAGTTATAGTTAAGTATTTATTAGTTGTGATAAGTTAGAAATACAAGCATTAACTAAGAAAAATTACTTTTTTTAATTAGTGTGTACGTACTTTTATATTAAACCCCTCCCTCCTCCTCCTCCTTCCCCCCCCCCCCCCCATACGCTTGTGTATGCTTTTTGAAGACCCCCTCCCCCCTATGAGCGTACGTACTTTATGGATTTATTTCATTATTGTTATAACTATTCTTTAAATTGTTTATTTTATAAATATTAACTACACTATAATTATCTTACTATTGCTTTATCATTTATAATTCTTTTTACGTTGTTATATTGCAGTTATTCTTTTTTATTTTATTTTTATTTATATTAATGTTACTATTATTATTTTTATAAATATTCTTTTTTTTTTTTTTTTAAATCTTCTTTATTGTAATTTTTGCTTATCTTTCTTTCCTTTTTTTTTTTTTCTTTTTTTTCAGGTGTCACTCCATTGACTAGTTTTCAACGATATAAAGGACACCTAACCTTATTTATTTCAATTTATAATTTATCATTGTAAATTTTCATTATTCACTTAAAAATTAGTTATTAAAAATTAGCTTATCACTTAGCAAATTTTTTTCTAATTTAACACTGTGTTTTATCAATAAATACTCATTAGAAATGAATGATCAAATTAATAAAACTTCAATTTATACCAAAAATTAAATTACAGGAAGTCACATGTCTTAACTACTGCTATTTTTCACACATTTGTGTATTTTGCTGACACTATTGTAAAAAGAATTTTTTAGAAATGATTACTTAAGCTTTTTTAAAAAATAATATATTTTTTTCAAAGGGGAGTTAATGTAACTATTATTTAAGCTCACATATTTTTATAGTTTTTTAGGAGAAACTTATTTTCTTGCCTGCATTTAGAAATCAATTCCGATTTTTTGTTTAATAAACATTCTTGGTTTGTATGTGTAATTATTTCAAATTTTTCTTGTAGACATAGTATGCATTTTTTGGAAATATTGTTATATGCAGGCACTGTATTAAGGATGGACCAATTCAGTGTAAAATCATCAATATTTTTATCTTTTAATTCCCATATATATTTTGACAGCATGGTGTCTTTTGAATACTTTTTATTTTTAAAAGATTGCTTATGATCGGCAAAACGTTTTTTCCATTCACCTTCTGTTATGCCAATATATTGTTTATCAGGTACATTCTTAGAGAAGACAACACATTTATATACCACATTTTTTGATAAGCAACTTCCACTCATTGGACAATTGTTTTTTTGTTTACAATTACAATTTTCTGTAGTTTTTTCATTTTGGATTTCTTTTTTGTTTAACAAAGCATTGTTGTGACCTTTTATAATTCTTTCCATATTTTTTGTGCAACCGTAGCTAACTTTGATAGTATTTCGATTAAAAATTTTATGTAATTTATTAGAGGGCGGGAAATGCTTATCAATCAATTTTAAAAACACTTTTCCTATGTTTGTGGAAACATTTTTGCTATATGGGGGGTTGAACCAAATTACATTTCTAATTCTATTTCGCTTTTTTGTATTCTTTTTTTCAGGGTCAAATTTTAATTCAAAGTTTTTAAAACCACTTTTTTTAAGGGCATCTTCAAATATCTGTTTGGAAGAATTGAATACATTTTCATTAGAGGAGTTTTGGTTAAGCCTGTTATTAATTGAAATCGGGATTTGTTTTAGAATTTATGATGGATGATTTGAGTTAATATTAATATACAATAATTCATCGTTTGGTTTTTTGAAAGGCTTTTATGTATTTTCCAAGAGGTTAAATGTGACATCAAGAAAGTTCACAATTTTTAAATTTATGTTTATTTCAATTTAAAAGCCAATATTTTTAAAAAATTTTAAAAAGCATTTTGTGCTTCCATAGTTACAGCTGTTTGCTCTCTATAGAACAGGAAGAATTTAGCTAAAATCTTTACTTATAGGTATAACTTTTCTGTCTAAAGGATAAAAAATACATATTTAAACTGGTTTGGTAGATCTATTTTTTCCACTTTGGTTTGAAATTTTTTTTTATGAAATCACAAATAAACAAAATTACTATAGATAATAAATTTACAGTTTCACTGAGATGCTTGTCACAATCATCTTAAACATTCACCCTTTTTAATTTCTTAAACTTACCTCAAACTTTTATACCTTTTAAAACCTACCTTGAATCCTGAGTTATAAGTAAAACAATATTATTACACTTGTGCGTTATAACATTGTGTATTAAAATTACTCAAACCCTAAAATCATACCGCAAATAGAATTATTCACAAGAATGAAATGTTTTGATAACGATGCTTTTTCCTCTAAATTAATAATTTCATCATTTACCAGATGCAAATAGAATAAAAGTACCTTGGACAATAAGTAGAACAGCAGTAATTCCAAGTAAATAAATATAACTTATTTATTTCAACCATCAACTTTAAATTTAACAATTCCACAATATATATATGACCTTCAAAAATTTATAAAAAAACACATTTAAAAATTATTCCAACATAATTAAAAGTAAAAAAAATGACATTATTAATACATATAAAATAATTCTTATATTTTTTTTAGATACAGCAACAGAAGATACAACAACTAAATCAACAACAAGTTCTACCGTTACTTCATCTACTTCTACTGACACCCCATCAACCCCGACGACTGACACATCGACAACTTCAACAGAATCAGCAACAAGTTCTACAAATACTTCATCTACTTCTACTAACACCCCATCGACCCCGACAACTGACACATCCACAACTTCAACAGAATCAACAACCAGTTCTACCGTTACTTCATCTACTTCTACTGACACCCCATCAACCCCGACAACTGACACATCGACAACTTCAACAGAATCAACAACAAGTTCTACCAATACTTCATCTACTTCTACTGACACCCCATCAACCCCGACAACTGACACATCCACAACTTCAACAGAATCAACAACAAGTTCTACCATTACTTCATCTTCTTCTACTGACACTTCATCAACCCTGACAACTAACACATTGACAACTTCAACAGAATCAACAACAAGTTCTACCGATACTTCAACTACTTCTCCTGACACCCCATCAACCCCAACAACTGACACATCAACAACTTCAACAGAATCAACAACAAGTTCTACCGTTACTTCATCTACTTTTACTAACACTTCATCAACCCCGACAACTGACACATCGACAACTTCAACAGAATCAACAACAAGTTCTACCGATACTTCATCTACTTCTCCTGACAACCCATCAACCTCGACAACTGACACATCAACAACTTCAACAGAATCAACAACAAGTTCTACCGTTACTTCATCTACTTTTACTAACACTTCATCAACCCCGACAACTGACACATCGACAACTTCAACAGAATCAACAACAAGTTCTACCGATACTTCATCTACTTCTCCTGACACCCCATCAACCTCGACAACTGACGCATCAACAACTTCAACAGAATCAACAACAAGTTCTACTGTTACTTCATCTACTTTTACTGACACTTCATCAACCCCGACAACTGACACATCGACAACCTCAACAGAATCAACAACAAGTTCTACCGATACTTCATCTACTTCTACTGACACCCCATCAACCCCGACGACTGACACATCGACAACTTCAACAGAATCAGCAACAAGTTCTACCAATACTTCATCTACTTCTACTGACACCCCATCGACCCCGACAACTGACACATCCACAACTTCAACAGAATCAACAACCAGTTCTACCGTTACTTCATCTACTTCCACTGACACCCCATCAACCCCGACAACTGACACATCCACAACTTCAACAGAATCAACAACAAGTTTTACCAATACTTCATCTACTTCTACTGACACCCCATCAACCCCGACAACTGACACATCCACAACTTCAACAGAATCAACAACAATTTCTACCGTTACTTCATCTTCTTCTACTGACACTTCATCAACCCCGACAACTAACACATTGACAACTTCAACAGAATCAACAACAAGTTCTATCGATACTTCATCTACTTCTCCTGACACCCCATCAACTCCAACAACTGACACATCAACAACTTCAACAGAATCAACAACAAGTTCTACCGTTACTTCATCTACTTTTACTAACACTTCATCAACCCCGACAACTGACACATCCACAACTTCAACAGAATCAACAACAAGTTCTACCGATACTTCATCTACTTCTCCTGACACCCCATCAACCTCGACAACTGACACATCAACAACTTCAACAGAATCAACAACAAGTTCTACCGTTACTTCATCTTCTTTTACTAACACTTCATCAACCCCGACAACTGACACATCGACAACTTCAACAGAATCAACAACAAGTTCTACCGATACTTCATCTACTTCTCCTGACACCCCATCAACCTCGACAACTGACACATCAACAACTTCAACAGAATCAACAACAAGTTCTACCGATACTTCATCTACTTCTACTGACACCCCATCAACCCCGACGACTGACACATCGACAACTTCAACAGAATCAGCAACAAGTTCTACCGATACTTCATCTACTTCTACTGACACCCCATCAACCCCGACAACTGACACATCCACAACTTCAACAGAATCAACAACAAGTTCTACCGTTACTTCATCTTCTTCTACTGACACTTCATCAACCCCGAAAACTAACACATTGACAACTTCAACAGAATCAACAACAAGTTCTATCGATACTTCATCTACTTCTCCTGACACCCCATCAACCCCAACAACTAACACATCAACAACTTCAACAGAATCAACAACAAGTTCTACCGTTACTTCATCTACTTTTCCTAACACTTCATCAACCCCGACAACTGACACATCGACAACTTCAACAGAATCAACAACAAGTTCTACCGATACTTCATCTACTTCTCCTGACACCCCATCAACCTCGACAACTGACACATCAACAACTTCAACAGAATCAACAACAAGTTCTACCGTTACTTCATCTACTTTTACTAACACTTCATCAACCCCGACAACTGACACATCGACAACTTCAACAGAATCAACGACCAGATCTACCGTTACTTCATCTACTTCTACTGACAACCCATCAACCCCGACAACTGACACATCGACAACTTCAACAGAATCAACAACAAGTTCTACCAATACTTCATCTACTTCTACTGACACCCCATCAACCCCGACAACTGACACATCCACAACTTCAACAGAATCAACAACAAGTTCTACCGATACTTCATCTTCTTCTACTGACACTTCATCAACCCCGACAACTAACACATTGACAACTTCAACAGAATCAACAACAAGTTCTATCGATACTTCATCTACTTCTCCTGACACCCCATCAACCCCAACAACTGACACATCAACAACTTCAACAGAATCAACAACAAGTTCTACCGTTACTTCATCTACTTTTACTAACACTTCATCAACCCCGACAACTGACACATCGACAACTTCAACAGAATCAACAACAAGTTCTATCGATACTTCATCTACTTCTCCTGACACCCCATCAACCCCAACAACTGACACATCAACAACTTCAACAGAATCAACAACAAGTTCTACCGTTACTTCATCTACTTTTACTAACACTTCATCAACCCCGACAACTGACACATCCACAACTTCAACAGAATCAACAACAAGTTCTACCGATACTTCATCTACTTCTCCTGACACCCCATCAACCTCGACAACTGACACATCAACAACTTCAACAGAATCAACAACAAGTTCTACCGTTACTTCATCTACTTTTACTAACACTTTATCAACTCCGACAACTGACACATCGACAACTTCAACAGAAACAACAACAAGTTCTACCGATACTTCATCTACTTCTCCTGACACCCCATCAACCTCGACAACTGACACATCAACAACTTCAACAGAATCAACAACAAGTTCTACCGATACTTCATCTACTTCTACTGACACCCCATCAACCCCGACGACTGACACATCGACAACTTCAACAGAATCAGCAACAAGTTCTACCAATACTTCATCTACTTCTACTGACACCCCATCGACCCCGACAACTGACACATCCACAACTTCAACAGAATCAACAACAAGTTCTACTGTTACTTCATCTTCTTCTACTGACACTTCATCAACCCCGACAACTAACACATTGACAACTTCAACAGAATCAACAACAAGTTCTATCGATACTTCATCTACTTCTCCTGACACCCCATCAACCCCAAGAACTGACACATCAACAACTTCAACAAAATCAACAACAATTTCTACCGTTACTTCATCTACTTTTACTAACACTTCATCAACCCCGACAACTGACACATCGACAACATCAACAGAATCAACAACAAGTTCTACCGATACTTCATCTACTTCTCCTGACACCCCATCAACCTCGACAACTGACACCTCAACAACTTCAACAGAATCAACAACAAGTTCTACCGTTACATCATCTACTTTTACTGACACTTCATCAACCCCGACAACTGACACATCGACAACCTCAACAGAATCAACAACAAGTTCTACCGATACTTCATCTACTTCTACTGACACCCCATCAACCCCGACAACTGACACATCTACAACTTCAACCGAATCAACAACAAGTTCTACCGTTACTTCATCTACTTCTACTGACACTTCATCAACCCCGACAACTGACACATCGACAACCTTAACAGAATCAACAACAAGTTCTACTGATACTTCATCTACTTCTACTGACACCCCATCAACCCCGACAACTGACACATCCACAACTTCATCAGAATCAACAACAAGTTCTACCGATACTTCATCTACTTCTACTGACACCCCATCAACCCCGACAACTGACACATCCACAACTTCAACAGAATCAACAACAAGTTCTACCGATACTTCATCTTCTTCTACTGACACTTCATCAACCCCGACAACTAACACATTGACAACTTCAACAGAATCAACAACAAGTTCTATCGATACTTCATCTACTTCTCCTGACACCCCATCAACCCCAACAACTGACACATCAACAACTTCAACAGAATCAACAACAAGTTCTACCATTACTTCATCTACTTTTACTAACACTTCATCAACCCCGACAACTGACACATCGACAACTTCAACAGAATCAACAACAAGTTCTATCGATACTTCATCTACTTCTCCTGACACCCCATCAACCCCAACAACTGACACATCAACAACTTCAACAGAATCAACAACAAGTTCTACCGTTACTTCATCTACTTTTACTAACACTTCATCAACCCCGACAACTGACACATCGACAACTTCAACAGAATCAACAACAAGTTCTACCGATACTTCATCTACTTCTCCTGACACCCCATCAACCTCGACAACTGACACATCAACAACTTCAACAGAATCAACAACAAGTTCTACCGTTACTTTATCTACTTTTACTAACACTTTATCAACTCCGACAACTGACACATCGACAACTTCAACAGAAACAACAACAAGTTCTACCGATACTTCATCTACTTCTCCTGACACCCCATCAACCTCGACAACTGACACATCAACAACTTCAACAGAATCAACAACAAGTTCTACCGATACTTCATCTACTTCTACTGACACCCCATCAACCCCGACGACTGACACATCGACAACTTCAACAGAATCAGCAACAAGTTCTACCAATACTTCATCTACTTCTACTGACACCCCATCGACCCCGACAACTGACACATCCACAACTTCAACAGAATCAACAACAAGTTCTACCGTTACTTCATCTTCTTCTACTGACACTTCATCAACCCCGACAATTAACACATTGACAACTTCAACAGAATCAACAACAAGTTCTATCGATACTTCATCTACTTCTCCTGACACCCCATCAACCCCAAGAACTGACACATCAACAACTTCAACAAAATCAACAACAAGTTCTACCGTTACTTCATCTACTTTTACTAACACTTCATCAACCCCGACAACTGACACATCGACAACTTCAACAGAATCAACAACAAGTTCTACTGATACTTCATCTACTTCTCCTGACACCCCATCAACCTCGACAACTGACACCTCAACAACTTCAACAGAATCAACAACAAGTTCTACCGTTACATCATCTACTTTTACTGACACTTCATCAACCCCAACAACTGACACATCGACAACCTCAACAGAATCAACAACAAGTTCTACCGATACTTCATCTACTTCTACTGACACCCCATCAACCCCGACAACTGACACATCTACAACTTCAACCGAATCAACAACAAGTTCTACCGTTACTTCATCTACTTCTACTGACACTTCATCAACCCCGACAACTGACACATCGACAACCTTAACAGAATCAACAACAAGTTCTACTGATACTTCATCTACTTCTACTGACACCCCATCAACCCCGACAACTGACCTATCCACAACTTCATCAGAATCAACAACAAGTTCTACCGATACTTCATCTACTTCTACTGACACCCCATCAACCCCGACAACTGACACATCCACAACTTCAACAGAATCAACAACAAGTTCTACCGTTACTTCATCTACTTCTACTAACACCCTATCAACCCCGATAACTGACACATCGACAATTTCAACAGAATCAACAACAAGTTCTACCGATACTTCACCTACTTCTACTGACACCCCATCAACCCCGACAACTGACACATCGTCAACTTCAACAGAATTAACAACAAGTTCAATCGATACTTCATCTACTTTTACTGACACTTCATCAAACCCGACAACTGACACATCGACAACCTCAACAGAATCAACAACAAGTTCTACTGATACTTCATCTACTTCTACTAACACCTTATCAACCCCGACAACTGACACATCCACAACTTCAACCGAATCAACAACAAGTTCTACCGTTACTTCATCTACTTCTACTGACACTTCATCAACCCCGACACCTGACGCATTGACAACCTTAACAGAATCAACAACAAGTTCTACTGATACTTCATCTACTTCTACTGACACCCCATCAACCCCGACAACTGACACATCCACAACTTCATCAGAATCAACAACAAGTTCTACCGATTTTTCATCTACTTCTACTGACACCCCATCAACCCCAACAACTGACACATCCACAACTTCAACCGAATCAACAACAAGTTCTACCGTTACTTCATCTACTTCTACTGACACTTTATCAACCCTGACAACTGACACATCGACAACTTCAACAGAATCAACAACAAGTTCTACCGATACTTCATCTACTTCTACTGACACCCTATCAACCCCAACAACTGACACATCCACAACTTCAACCGAATCAACAACAAGTTCTACCGTTACTTCATCTACTTCTACTGACACTTCATCAACCCTGACAACTGACACATCGACAACTTCAACAGAATCAATAACAAGTTCTACCGATACTTCATCTACTTCTCCAGACACCCCATCAACCTCGACAACTGACACATTAACAACTTCAACAGAATCAACAACAAGTTCTACCGATACTTCATCTACTTCTACTGACACCCCATCAACCCTGACAACTGACACATCCACAACTTCAACCGAATCAACAACAAGTTCTACCGTTACTTCATCTACTTCTACTGACACTTTATCAACCCTGACAACTGACACATCGACAACTTCAACAGAATCAACAACAAGTTCTACCGATACTTCATCTACTTCTCCAGACACCTCATCAACCTCGACAACTGACACATCAACAACTTCAACAGAATCATCAACAAGTTCTACCATTACTTCATCTACTTTTACTAACACTTTATCAACCCCGACAACTGACACATTGACAACTTCAACAGAATTAACAACAAGTTCTACCGATACTTCATCTACTTCTCCAGACACCCCATCAACCTCGACAACTGACACATCAACAACTTCAACAGAATCAACAACAAGTTCTACTGATACTTCATCTACTTCTACTGACACCCCATCAACCCTGACAACTGACACATCCACAACTTCAACAGAATCAACAACCAGTTCTACCGTTACTTCATCTACTTCTACTGACACCCCATCAACCCTGACAACTGACACATCCACAACTTCAACCGAATCAACAACAAGTTCTACCGTTACTTCATCTTCTTCTACTGACACTTCATCAACCCCGACAACTGACACATCGACAACCTTAACAGAATCAACAACAAGTTCTACTGATACTTCATCTACTTCTACTGACACCCCATCAACCCCGACAACTGACACATCCACAACTTCATCAGAATCAACAACAAGTTCTACCGATACTTCATCTACTTCTACTGACACCCCATCAACCCCGACAACTGACACATCCACAACTTCAACAGAATTAACAACAAGTTCAATCGATACTTCATCAACTTTTACTGACACTTCATCAACCCCGACAACTGATACATCGACAACCTCAACAGAGTCAACAACAAGTTCTACCGTTACTTCATCTACTTCTACTGACACTTCATCAACCCCGACAACTGACACATCGACAACCTCAACAGAATCAACAACAAGTTCTACCGATACTTCATCTACTTCTACTGACACCCTATCAACCCCAACAACTGACACATCTACAACTTCATCCGAATCAACAACAAGTTCTACCGTTACTTCATCTACTTCTACTGACACTTCATCAACCCTGACAACTGACACATCGACAACTTCAACAGAATCAATAACAAGTTCTACCGATACTTCATCTACTTCTCCAGACACCCCATCAACCTCGACAACTGACACATTAACAACTTCAACAGAATCAACAACAAGTTCTACCGATACTTCATCTACTTCTACTGACACCCCATCAACCCTGACAACTGACACATCCACAACTTCAACAGAATCAACAACCAGTTCTACCGTTACTTCATCTACTTCTACTGACACCCCATCAACCCTGACAACTGACACATCCACAACTTCAACCGAATCAACAACAAGTTCTACCGTTACTTTATCTACTTCTACTGACACTTCATCAACCCCGACAACTGACACATCGACAACCTTAACAGAATCAACAACAAGTTCTACTGATACTTCATCTACTTCTACTGACACCCCATCAACTCCGACAACTGACACATCCACAACTTTAACAGAATCAACAACCAGTTCTACCGTTACTTCATCTACTTCTACTAACACCCCATCGACCCCGACAACTGACACATCCACAACTTCAACAGAATCAACAACCAGTTCTACGGTTACTTCATCTACTTCTACTGACACCCCATCAACCCCGACAACTGACACATCTACAACTTCAACAGAATCAACAACAAGTTCTACCAATACTTCATCTACTTCTACTGACACCTCATCAACCCCGACAACTGACACATCTACAACTTCAACAGAATTAACAACAAGTTCTACCTTTACTTCATCTACTTCTACTGACACCCCTTCAACCCCGACAACTGACACATTGACAACTTCAACAGAATCAACAACAAGTTCTATCGATACTTCATCTACTTCTCCTGACACCCCATCAACCCCAACAACTGACACATCAACAACTTCAACAGAATCAACAACAAGTTCTACCGTTACTTCATCTACTTTTACTAACACTTCATTAACCCCGACAACTGACACATCAACAACTTCAACAGAATCAACAACAAGTTCTACCGATACTTCATCTACTTCTCCCGACACGCCATCAACCTCGACAACTGCTACATTAATAACTTCAACAGAATCAACAACAAGTTCTACCGTTACTTCATCTACTTTTACTGACACTTTATCAACCCCGACATTTGACACATCGACAACCTCAACAGAATCAACAACAAGTTCTACCGATACTTCATCTACTTCTACTGACACCCCATCAACCCTAACAACTGACACATCCACAACTTCAACCGAATCAACAACAAGTTCTACCGTTACTTCATCTACTTCTACTGACACTTCATCAACCCCGACAACTGACACATCGACAACCTTAACAGAATCAACAACAAGTTCTACTGATACTTCATCTACTTCTCCAGACACCCCATCAACCTCGACAACTGACACATTAACAACTTCAACAGAATCAACAACAATTTCTACCGATACTTCATCTACTTCTACTGACACCCCATCAACCCTGACAACTGACACATCCACAACTTCAACCGAATCAACAACAAGTTCTACCGTTACTTCATCTACTTCTACTGACACTTTATCAACCCTGACAACTGACACATCGACAACTTCAACAGAATCAACAACAATTTCTACCGATACTTCATCTACTTCTACAGACACCCCATCAACCTCGACAACTGACACATCAACAACTTCAACAGAATCATCAACAAGTTCTACCATTACTTCATCTACTTTTACTAACACTTTATCAACCCCGACAACTGACACATTGACAACTTCAACAGAATTAACAACAAGTTCTACCGATACTTCATCTACTTCTCCAGACACCCCATCAACCTCGACAACTGACACATCAACAACTTCAACAGAATCAACAACAAGTTCTACTGATACTTCATCTACTTCTACTGACACCCCATCAACCCTGACAACTGACACATCCACAACTTCAACAGAATCAACAACCAGTTCTACCGTTACTTCATCTACTTCTACTGACACCCCATCAACCCTGACAACTGACACATCCACAACTTCAACCGAATCAACAACAAGTTCTACCGTTACTTCATCTACTTCTACTGACACTTTATCAACCCCGACAACTGACACATCGACAACCTTAACAGAATCAACAACAAGTTCTACTGATACTTCATCTACTTCTACTGACACCCCATCAACCCCGACAACTGACACATCCACAACTTCATCAGAATCAACAACAAGTTCTACCGATACTTCATCTACTTCTACTGACACCCCATCAACCCCGACAACTGACACATCCACAACTTCAACAGAATTAACAACAAGTTCAATCGATACTTCATCAACTTTTACTGACACTTCATCAACCCCGACAACTGACACATCGACAACCTCAACAGAGTCAACAACATGTTCTACCGTTACTTCATCTACTTCTACTGACACTTCATCAACCCCGACAACTGACACATCGACAACCTCAACAGAATCAACAACAAGTTCTACCGATACTTCATCTACTTCTACTGACACCCTATCAACCCCAACAACTGACACATCTACAACTTCAACCGAATCAACAACAAGTTCTACCGTTACTTCATCTACTTCTACTGACACTTCATCAACCCTGACAACTGACACATCGACAACTTCAACAGAATCAATAACAAGTTCTACCGATACTTCATCTACTTCTCCAGACACCCCATCAACCTCGACAACTGACACATTAACAACTTCAACAGAATCAACAACAAGTTCTACCGATACTTCATCTACTTCTACTGACACCCCATCAACCCTGACAACTGACACATCCATAACTTCAACAGAATCAACAACCAGTTCTACCGTTACTTCATCTACTTCTACTGACACCCCATCAACCCTGACAACTGACACATCTACAACTTCAACCGAATCAACAACAAGTTCTACCGTTACTTTATCTACTTCTACTGACACTTCATCAACCCCGACAACTGACACATCGACAACCTTAACAGAATCAACAACAAGTTCTACCGATACTTCATCTACTTCTACTGACACCCCATCAACCCCGACAACTGACACATCCACAACTTCAATAGAATCAACAACCTGTTCTACCGTTACTTCATCTACTTCTACTAACACTCTATCAACCCCGACAACTGACACATCGACAATTTCAACAGAATCAACAACAAGTTCTACCGATACTTCACCTACTTCTACTGACACCCCATCTACCCCGACAACTGACACATCGTCAACTTCAACAGAATTAACAACAAGTTCAATCGATACTTCATCAACTTTTACTGACACTTCATCAACCCCGACAACTGACACATCGACAACCTCAACAGAGTCAACAACATGTTCTACCGTTATTTCATCTACTTCTACTGACACTTCATCAACCTTGACAACTGACACATTGACAACCTCAACAGAATCAACAACAAGTTCTACCGATACTTCATCTACTTCTACTGACACTTCATCAACCCTGACAACTGACACATCGACAACTTCAACAGAACCAACAACAAGTTCTACCGATACTTCATCTACTTCTCCAGACACCCCATCAACCTCGACAACTGACACATCAACAACTTCAACAGAATCAACAACAAGTTCTACCGATACTTCATCTACTTCTACTGACACCCCATCAACCCCGACAACTGGCACATCCACAACTTCAACAGAATCAACAACCAGTTCTACCGTTACTTCATCTATTTCTACTAACACCCCATCGACCCCGACAACTGACACATCCCCAACTTCAACAGAATCAACAACCAGTTCTACCGTTACTTCATCTACTTCTACTGACACCCCATCAACCCCGACAACTGACACATCCACAACTTCAACCGAATCAACAACAAGTTCTACTGTTACTTCATCTACTTCTACTGACACTTCATCAACCCCGACAACTGACACATCGACAACCTTAACAGAATCAACAACAAGTTCTACTGATATTTTATCTACTTCTACTGACACCCCATCAACCCCGACAACTGACACATCCACAACTTCATCAGAATCAACAACAAGTTCTACCGTAACCTCATCTACTTTTACTTACACTTCATCAACCCCGACAACTGACACATCGACAACTTCAATAGAATCAACAACAAGTTCTACCGATACTTCGTCTACTTCTCCTGACACCCCATCAACCTCGACAACTGACACATCGACAACTTCAACACAATCAACAACAAGTTCTACCATTACTTCATCTACTTTTACTAACACTTCATCAACCTCGACAACTGACACATCAACAACTTCAACAGAATCAACAACAAGTTCTACCGATACTTCATCTACTTCTACTGACACCCCATCAACTCCGACAACTGACACATCCACAACTTTAACAGAATCAACAACCAGTTCTACCGTTACTTCATCTACTTCTACTAACACCCCATCGACCCCGACAACTGACACATCCACAACTTCAACAGAATCAACAACCAGTTATACGGTTACTTCATCTACTTCTACTGACACCCCATCAACCTCGACAACTGACACATCTACAACTTCAACAGAATCAACAACAAGTTCTACCAATACTTCATCTACTTCTACTGACACCCCATCAACCCCGACAACTGACACATCCACAACTTCAACAGAATTAACAACAAGTTCTACCGTAACCTCATCTACTTTTACTTACACTTCATCAACCCCGACAACTGACACATCGACAACTTCAATAGAATCAACAACAAGTTCTACCGATACTTTGTCTACTTCTCCTGACACCCCATCAACCTCGACAACTGACACATCAACAACTTCAACAGAATCAACAACAAGTTCTACCATTACTTCATCTACTTTTACTAACACTTCATCAACCCCGACAACTGACACATCGACAACTTCAACAGAATCAACAACAAGTTCTACCGATACTTCATCTACTTCTCCAGACACCCCATTAACCTCGACAACTGACACATCAACAACTTCAACAGAATCAACAACAAGTTCTACCGATACTTCATCTACTTCTACTGACACCCCATCAACTCCGACAACTGACACATCCACAACTTTAACAGAATCAACAACCAGTTCTACCGTTACTTCATCTACTTCTACTAACACCCCATCGACCCCGACAACTGACACATCCACAACTTCAACAGAATCAACAACCAGTTATACGGTTACTTCATCTACTTCTACTGACACCCCATCAACCCCGACAACTGACACATCTACAACTTCAACAGAATCAACAACAAGTTCTACCAATACTTCATCTACTTCTACTGATACCCCATCAACCCCGACAACTGACACATCCACAACTTCAACAGAATTAACAACAAGTTCTACCGTAAACTCATCTACTTTTACTTACACTTCATCAACCCCGACAACTGACACATCGACAACTTCAATAGAATCAACAACAAGTTCTACTGATACTTCATATACTTCTACTGACACCCCATCAACTCCGACAACTGACACATCCACAACTTCATCAGAATCAACAACAAGTTCTACCGTAACCTCATCTACTTTTACTTACACTTCATCAACCCCGACAACTGACACATCGACAACTTCAATAGAATCAACAACAAGTTCTACCGATACTTTGTCTACTTCTCCTGACACCCCATCAACCTCGACAACTGACACATCAACAACTTCAACAGAATCAACAACAAGTTCTACCATTACTTCATCTACTTTTACTAACACTTCATCAACCCCGACAACTGACACATCGACAACTTCAACAGAATCAACAACAAGTTCTACCGATACTTCATCTACTTCTCCAGACACCCCATCAACCTCGACAACTGACACATCAACAACTTCAACAGAATCATAAACAAGTTCTACCGATACTTCATCTACTTCTACTGATACCCCATCAACCCCGACAACTGACACATCCACAACTTTAACAGAATCAACAACCAGTTCTACCGTTACTTCATCTACTTCTACTAACACCCCATCGACCCCGACAACTGACACATCCACAACTTCAACAGAATCAACAACCAGTTCCACGGTTACTTCATCTACTTCTACTGACACCCCATCAACCCCGACAACTGACACATCTACAACTTCAACAGAATCAACAACAAGTTCTACCAATACTTCATCTACTTCTACTGACACCTCATCAACCCCGACAACTGACACATCTACAACTTCAACAGAATTAACAACAAGTTCTACCATTACTTCATCTACTTCTACTGACACCCCTTCAACCCCGACAACTGACACATTGACAACTTCAACAGAATCAACAACAAGTTCTATCGATACTTCATCTACTTCTCCTGACACCCCATCAACCCCAACAACTGACACATCAACAACTTCAACAGAATCAACAACAAGTTCTACCGTTACTTCATCTACTTTTACTAACACTTCATCAACCCCGACAACTGACACATCGACAACTTCAACAGAATCAACAACAAGTTCTACCGATACTTCATCTACTTCTCCCGACACGCCATCAACCTCGACAACTGCTACATTAACAACTTCAACAGAATCAACAACAAGTTCTACCGTTACTTCATCTACTTTTACTGACACTTTATCAACCCCGACAACTGACACATCGACAACCTCAACAGAATCAACAACAAGTTCTACCGATACTTCATCTACTTCTACTGACACCCCATCAACCCTGACAACTGACACATCCACAACTTCAACCGAATCAACAACAAGTTCTACCGTTACTTCATCTACTTCTACTGACACTTCATCAACCCCGACAACTGACACATCCACAACCTTAACAGAATCAACAACACGTTCTACTGATACTCCATCTACTTCTACTGACACCCCATCAACCCCGACAACTGACACATCCACAACTTCATCAGAATCAACAACAAGTTCTACCGATACTTCATCTACTTCTACTGACACCCCATCAACCCCGACAACTGACATATCCACAACTTCAACAGAATCAACAACCAATTCTACCGTTACTTCATCTACTTCTACTAACACTCTATCAACCCCGACAACTGACACATCGACAATTTCAACAGAATCAACAACAAGTTCTACCGATACTTCACCTACTTTTACTGACACCCCATCTACCCCGACAACTGACACATCGTCAACTTCAACAGAATTAACAACAAGTTCAATCGATACTTCATCAACTTTTACTGACACTTCATCAACCCCGACAACTGACACATCGACAACCTCAACAGAGTCAACAACAAGTTCTACCGTTACTTCATCTACTTCTACTGACACTTCATCAACCCCGACAACTGACACATCGACAACCTCAACAGAATCAACAACAAGTTCTACCGATACTTCGTCTACTTCTACTGACACCCTATTAACCCCGACAACTGACACATCCACAACTTCAACCGAATCAACAACAAGTTCTACCGTTACTTCATCTACTTCTACTGACACTTCATCAACCCCGACAACTGACACATCGACAACTTTTACAGAATTAACAACAAGTTCTACCATTACTTCATCTACTTCTACTGACACCCCTTCAAACCCGACAACTGACACATTGACAACTTCAACAGAATCAACAACAAGTTCTACCGTTACTTCTTCTATTTCTACTGATACTTCAACAACCTCGACAATTGACACATCGACAATATTAACAGAATTAACAACAAGTTCTACCGATATTTCATCTACTTCTACTGACACCCCATCAACCCCGACAACTGACACATCGACAACTTTAACAGAATCAACAACAAGTTCTACCGATACTTTATCTACTTCTACTGACACCCCATCAACCCCGACAACTGACACATCAACAACGTCAACAGAATCAACAACAAGTTCTACCGATACTTCATCTACTTCTGCTGACACGCCATCAACCCCTACAACTGACACATCGACAACTTTAACAGAATCAACAACAATTTCTGCCGATACTTTATTTACTTCTACTGACTTTCCATCAACCCCGACAATTGACACATCGACAACTTTAACTGAGTCAACAACAAGTTCTATAGTTACTTCATCTTCTTCTACTGACACCCCATCAATCCTGACAACTGACTCATTGACAACTTTAACAGAATCAACAACAACTTCCGTTGTTTCCTCAGTTATTTCTCATACCTCCACCTCAGTATTTACTGCTATTCCTGGTTAGTATTTTATTATTAAATGTTTTATTTGCATAATTGTTTTATATTCATTAATTAAATTTTTTAATATCTCTAGATATCTTGTAGTTTTTATTGCTTTTTTTATTACTACCTTCTTTCTATATCTTTTCAATTATTTTATCGGGTAATTTTTGTAATACTGTTGTTTTGTTTCGGCTAATTCTTCTAATGGTGCTATTTCTCTTCATAGACAAGGTTTAAAAACTCACTGTAAAAATAATTGGCCTGCTTTTCCTTCTAATCCGAGTCTCTTTCCTATTTTTGTAAGTTTTTATCTTTTTCTCTTTTTTACAAATATGATCATAGTTGCTGCTCTATGAAGCTATTATCTTTAGTTTTGTCAACTTTAACTTATTCTTGCTTGACTCGTTACTTAGGAAAGTTTAATTTTGTTTTTGTATCTGTCCCTGCAATCTTTTAAAAATTTTAATATGCCTGTACATCAACTCTTTGGTACTTTCTCTCATCTTTATGTTTTCCTGAATCATATTTGTTTCAACTTTTTAAGTTTACTGTCAACTGTTTTTTTGCTCTACAGAGTTATTCTTTTTTTCTAGTAATTCTTAACCTAATAATGGTTGCTTGCAGCCTTGTTGAGAGTACATCAGAATACAATGCTTTTAGGGTAGTACGTAAAAGTTGACTCTGTACCTAAGTATTTTCTGTTTAAGATTGAAAAGGAGAATTTTTTCTGCTTTGGTAAGGGTTGTGAAATTTCAAAAGTTTTGTTAAATCTTAGATTTTTTTTTTTTTGTTTGAAAAACTTTTTCAAATGTCACATCGGTAATTTGCTATAGTGTGCAAAAGTTGCACCTTTTAGGTATGGTTACTTACGGTGCAAAATTTCACAACACAGACAATATGTTCTTTTAAAAATAATAAATTGTAAAATTTTTAAAGTTTTAAAACTAAGGAAGAGGTTGCCCAATGTTTGGATCACCGACAGATGTTGCAAGGATGCTTTGTACGAAAGAGGATGTTATTAAATGCTGCATTCACAAAAGTTCACTTCTTGGATCTAAAACATCTGGTAACTAGGAACACTCATTTTTTTCTATCGCAGAGCGAGTATGTGTATAGCTGCAAGTGCTGTATTTTCATGCATCCATTCCTGTAGTTTTAAAAAATCGTGTTCTTGATATGGTTCATGCGTATCACAAGAACTATATTAATATCAATTCTGCTTATAAGAGAATAGAAAAAAGCTTGGCATCTAAAACAAGCGTAGAAAAGTGCTCTGCATTTCAAGACTGCAGTTGTCGGGAGGAATTCAAGGTCCCTTTTAAGGTACAGATATTTTTTGCTGATCAGAGAACAAAGGGCTTAATGTGTATTGGATTGCTCTATTTGCCAAAAGCCAAAAAGCTTCAAGTACGTGCTGAAAGTAAGACAAAAAAGAATTTCTTCATTTTTCTAAATCTACTGTGTCCTGCTTATTGCAGCCTGATTACGATGAACCCTTGTAAATCATCAATGTTCTTTGAAGATGATAATGCATTGGATGAGGATAAGGAACCTGATGACTATAATTATAGTCCCAGACCATCAGTTTAATAAGATTTGGGGTATCGCTTCAAGCCACTACAAACATACCTTCTAGCATTTTCCACAATGTAGGTCTAATCACTGAATTAAATACATATTTAGTGATTGATAAGGACAAAATTGTTAGCGAAAGGTATTGAGCCATGCAAGGTCAGAGTTTGGAAATTGATAGTGATCATTTAATAGGTCTTTACTTTGACAGTAAAAAAAAAAACATTGTCAACAGAAATAGTAGAAATAGTAAATACTATCGAAGAACAGGTGTAGAGGATTACTATTATACGGTGAATGAACCAGGATCTAGCTATGTTAGTCATGTTAGACTAGCTTCAGATTAAAGTCTGGCTATTGCTAAAAGTATTTACAACTATATCACAGCAACACTAACCCAGAGATTTAAACCTCATTCTAGGATGTGATGGGATGGTTGTAAATACTTTTTGCTGTTTGTTCGAGTCCCTTGATGGTTCTACCTTTGGACCTACTTCCCAATCTAGTTGCACTAGGAAATCTTAAAAGGCATGTGTGTTGTTGCCAGTGGTAAAATTTGAGCTATTTAAGTGCACATTGCCAAATGATATATCGACTTTGAGTAAAGACCAGAAGTATTTTAGGGAGATTGCTCTCACTGTTACCTCAGGCATGTCTCCACCAGGTCTTGCTAAGCATGATCCAGATCCCCTAAACATTTCCCGCTTGTTGACAACAGCCACGAGAATATTATTACTGTATGTTTTTACCACGGAACCATTAGACAACTTACTTACCATAGTAAAGTTCATTATCAGGGTGTATGTGTCATTTGGGTGTGTCAATTTTAGACTTTTTTTGAAAAAAAAGTATAATAAAATTTGGGGTATAACTAAAAGTTGCGAAATTTTACAGAGAATCTAAATCTGTTAAAATTTTTTAAATCAGAAAAATATTTACTTAGGTGATTAGCCTTTTTATAAAAGGATTAACGGTTTTTATTTCCTTTTAAACGGAATAACGAAGTTACCGGACAATACTATACGTAAAAAAAGGCAGACTTTTAAACAACAAAACAAATTTACATTAATTTTATAAAAAAATCATTTAACTTAATATGTATAAAGTATTTGAAAAATTTTTGTATTAAATGCGTAAAATACTTTTTTAAAAAGAAAAAAATTACTCAAACATAATTTTTTAATCTTAATAATGGTCAGTAAATTAATTTTTCATTGCCGCATTTTGTAAACAACTGCGAACTAAATATAAATTTAAGAACTTTTGATCAATTGTTTTCATTCTTAAAATATTAAAAAAAAAAATTTTTTTATTACTAAACAATAATAAGTTCTCTTTAAATATTTTATAACTTGGAGGAATAATGGCACCCAAAACCAGAATGAGTACTTGTACGCAAATTAGTGTTGCATTCGGTACAGGAAAACAATTTCTAGTTTCAGAATTACCAACCAACAGAGATGTTATAAGATATGCAATTTTATTAAGAGAGGGCTGCGAAAACATAAAAAAAAGGAATTATCTTGTAAAGCTTTATTACACCAGTGGTCGAGTGCAAATTTGGAATTTACATCGCCTAAATTAATTACTGACAAAACAATTTGTGATAAAATACTGACTTTCTGGAACAACGCTTTAGCAATAGCTTGTCCAAGAAATAAAGGAGCTAAACAAATAATAAAATTTAAAGGAAAATTTGATAAACATTTTGATATACTAGTATGCAAATGTCCAATTGTAAAATGTGATGAATTTATTTGTTCTGATGATTGTGATAAAGAAGTTCATTGTAAATGCAAATGTATCAAAGAGTACAAAATACCATCTATTGACGTTAAGTTTATATATTTTCAAAGAATTTAAACAGGAACTGTTAGCAAGTTTCAAATTGGATTACCTGATAGTATTGAAACCAGGAAACAGTTCAAAAGATTACTTAGAAAAGATCGAGAAAAATATTTTGAGAATAAAGACAGCAATGTTATTTTAACTAAAAAACAAAAAATTGAGTCAGATTAGATAAACTTTAAAAAAGAGAGTGATTTTAGTAATGAAATAGAATTAAATGATAACATTGATGATATTGCTAATGTAGAATTACCTCTAGTACTAGAGAAATCATCAGGAAAAAAAAAGTGTTATGATACCTTAGATATTTCACACATAGCTATGAATAGCGTAAGGTATAGTTCTTTTTAAATAAATTTGTTTTTTAGTAATGTATTTATATATATATATATATATATATATATATATATATATATATATATATATATATGCATATATATATATATATACATATATATATATATATATATATATATATATATATATATATATATATATATATATATATATATATATATATATATATATATATATATATATATGTATATATATGTATGTATGTATATATATATATATATATATATATGCATATATATATATATATATATATATATATATATATATATATATATATATATATATATATATATATATATATATATATATATATATATATATGAACTTAGTCAATGATGATTTTTTATTTAAAAGTAATTCTATTTCTATGTAAATTTTGCTCACATAGATATGGGGTATCTGCACGTGCTACAGCTGCAATTGCTACAGCAACACTAATTGATGCAGGATTAATAACACCTGATGATAAAAAGTTAATTATTGACCATAGTAAAGTTTCGAGAGTGCAAGAAAAAGTCTCTGATCTTAGTAAGGATTTTGACAAAATAGCAAAAAGTGGAGAAGTGAAATACATATTTTTTGATGGGAGAATTGATCAAACCAAGCAAATGATTGAACTTGATGACTCAGTAACTTCCAGTAACAGTGAAAGTAGAACATTACTCTGTTTGTATAAAACCTGGAGGAAAATATTTGTTTCACTTTACTCCTGAGAAAGCAACAAAAAGTGTTAGACATGCAGAGATTATAGCAAATAAAATTGTTGAATGACTGACTGAGAGAGGTATTGACAAGTCTTTACTGGCTGTTGGTGGAGACTCTACAAATGTAAACACCGGTTGGGAGGGTGGAATCATCAAACATATAGAAATAAAATTAGGAAAAAAACTTGTTTGGCTTATATGTCAACTCCATACAAATGAGTTGCCACTGAGACATCTTATAACCAATTTAGATGGTCAAACAAAATCAAACAATAAATGGTCTGGTGTTATTGGTTCCATGCTTGATCATGCTACAGATCTAGATATAAATCCAGTATTTGAAACTACTAAAATTTTCAATCCACTTATTTCTCTCGATGATAAAATAATAAATGACCTGTCTGCAGATCAATTTTATGGTTATAAAGTTGTTTGTGCCATTAGAAGTGGTATTTTACCACCAAAATTTCATTTATTACAAATTGGGCCTGTTTCACATTCAAGATGGTTAACTACTGCTAACAGAATATGTAG